CAAATTCAAATTCAAATTCAGGAGGGAAACCTAACTACAAAAATGGCGTAGTGGAGGCTAACTGTAAGAGAACATGATCAAAGATCATGGGAGGACCTTTTGATGGTTGGAAGACCACTTCAACGATTACCATTGGAAAGTATAAATAGAAGAGAATGCTCTAGAATGAAAGACTCAGACTTAGATCCATAAACCAATTTATTTACTTCATATTTCTTTCCAGTTTTGCATTTCCAACATTTCAATTCCTGTACTGTACTTTATTTCCTAGGAGTAGTTTCAAGTAGTCATTGCTGTAAACCTCTGCGAGGCTGAGTCATTGTAACTTCATTGTAAGTTCTCATTTGTTTAATGAAATTCAATTTCTGAATTGTTCTGTATTTGTTATTTCTTATCAATTTCTCTTCATTGAGGCTGAAAGAACTTCAACACAATCATCTGATAATTGATTGACAATTAAAATTCTATAAGGACTGATTGATCCTTACTGACACATTTAAATTTACACTATTAAAGTCAAAAAAGCCAACACTACCATTCGACATTACCACCAGAATTGGAGGATGTCTATGATGCCATCCACATATCTATATTGAAAGGGTATATGCAACGTTTAGTGAAAGTTCAATGGAAATGTCCCATTCAAGAGAAAAAGACTTGGGAGAAGGGGAATGAGATGACGACCACATGCCCTAGCCTACTTGAAACGTAAGGTAAGTAAACCATACTTTAGAAGGGAGCCACACGAGGATAACCATTACTAACAAATCACATGTACACCTTTTTAGGGAAGAATCACTTGGCGTAGGGCTTCCCATGTGAGTTGAGGTGATAGTCAACAACTTAGGTAAGAAATGCTGAGAGGCAGCTAACAATGCTAGAGAGAGAGAGAGAAAAGGAGAAGAAGGATTGAAGCATTCCAATATATTTTGCTATAATATGCACATTATACAATTTTTATGCATGCCCAGTACTTTATACTTTTTTGGCTAGTTTTGCAATATGTGGATAGTGTTTTACTATTTGTTTAATTAAAGAAGCTTGCATTTCATGAAGTAGTAATTAAGAAGCCCTAGAAATAATAATACTTAATTGAAAAGTAAATTAAATAATGTGCAAGATAGCCATCATATTTCATCATAGAATGGGGATTGAGTAGGAGGTGTCTTCACTCTACAGAAAGAAGTAAGAAAAACAAGCCTTCGGGCCCCTCCATATATATTATTCTTTCCTTTGTAGGTTAGTTTGATGAGCTAACACAATTTCGTAAAGCCACCCAATTGTGAATTATTTCACAGCCCAATTCTTTGATAAATATTATAGGGAGAGCTATACTCGTAGATTTGTAGTTCCTATAGTTCTCTTTTGTGTTAATTTAGTTTTTTGTAGTTTTTTTTTTTTAGTTTTAATTGTATTAATTTTAATTTTGAATTTTTCATTTTGTATCAGTTTAATTGAATTAAAAAAATCTTTTAGCAATTGGATGAATCAAATGATAAAATAGTCTATTCACTCTATTTGAAATGATTGATAGGTTGACGTCTAATTTAAAATGATTTATTTCGTTTTGAATGAAGTATTTTGTTCTTAAGTTCTGTTTAATTTTTTAAGAAATAATATCAATTTGACTCAATTGATGTAATGTCAAAAAATTAAAGAATAAAATCGATACAATTAGAAAATAGATATCAAATTCACACAAATTTTTTCTTTTACAGAGAATACAGTTATAATGTTCCAATATTATATCATTATTTGGAACTTTTCATTTGCTTTCTCATATGATAATATATATGTATACACACATATAGATAGATAGACAGACAGACAGATAGATCACTTGTCTTTGGGTGAAGCTGAAATGTCAATATGATTGCTACAAGTCTCCAACCTATGGTCTTCCAAAAGGTGAGATCAGGTCTCACCATAGAAAGTGATGTTTTCCCTTCCTCCACCCTTAAAACCGAGGATTGTTTTTTTATTTTTATTTTTGTTTTTATTTATTATTTCTGCTAAATGCTAAGAGTAGAGTACCACGTAGAGTGTGTCATTTACAATAGAACAAATTATTTTTTTATCATTATTGAAAAAGATCACTAAAAACAAAATAAAATAATCTAAATAAATATGACTTTTTTAGGTGTATATCAAACGCCACAATTTGAACTTAAATTAAACTCCTACTATTTATTAAATAGGATTAGTTTTACCTATACAATAAGATTTATTACATTAATATATTTAAGAGGTGAAACAAAATGATAAAACAAAATCGAAGATAAATAATATTTCTCTAAATTCAATCATAAATTGACAGTGAATAATCTCATAAAATGATGAATTAAATACAGTATAAAAATACTCAATGTGTTTGGTTTCAATTTTCTAAAAATTAAGTTTTTTGTTTTTTGTGTTTTTTGTTTTTAGTGAATGTTTTTAAAATTGTAAGCAATTTTTTTTTTTACTTTTTTAGATGCACCTTATTTAGATATATTTAAATAGTAAAATATTTGTGAAAAAATATTTTAAAAAATTAATAAATAAACAAAAATATGAAAAATATACTGAATATATATATATTTGTATTTTTTGTATTTAGTGAATTTTTTAAAGATTTTTTTTATAAATATTATACTTTTTAAGTTTATTTATGTTAGGAGTGTCTAAAAATTAAAAAAAATATTAAAAATATTAAAAAAATTCAATCAAAACAAAAAAAAATACAAAAAACAAAAAAATAAAATTTTGTTAAAAGTAAATTCTAAAAATGGAAACCATAACATTGATTAGAAATGTTACCAAACACTTCACACCCAACCAAAATCAAGCCATCTAACTTTTTTCGTTTCAACAATGCGTGGAAAAGAAACAAACAGTAACAGACATTCATTTTGAATTAGTTAATAAATTAATTATTGGTAAACGAGTTAGACCACCAACCTCTCTAATTCCATTACTTGTCACAAGATGATTGATTGTATTTAGCCATACTTTATTAACACAAAGATGATCACTAGATTGATTGCATATCTATGGTATAATTGTCGATATACTTATGATATCGAAATGGTAAATCATATTAATACAAAATTTTTTATTTAGAATTTAAGATTAATTAGAATGATGTGACAATGATAATATTTTAATTATGAATCATAGTGTTAAATATTTTGACTTTTATGTTCACATATCAATTTCTTTTCCTGTACACATTTAGTGATTTTTTTAAAAAAAAAATCATAATTTTATTCTTTAATCAAATTACCGTTAAAAGACAAATTCTCATACTTCTCTGATTTCTCATTAGGTATACATCTCACTAGCCACTCCACCACATATGGCCGCCTAGCCTAGCTTCCACACATCGAGGCTGTAAATGAATAGAACCATTCGTGAAAACACTTAAGTTTGGTTTGATAAGGGCTCGTTCGAATTTGATTTGTTAAAATTTTATTGCGTTCAAATTCAAACTCGTTAAAATCTTAATAAATAAACCTAAACATATTAAAGCTCGGCTCATCAGTTGACTTGTTTGACATTTATTTAAATAATATAAAAATATGGAGTATAAAAAATAGAATAAATATGTTATTTATATATTTAAATAATAGTTGAATTTATTTATATGTAAATAATAGCTAATTATAAATAATATATTTATATAATAGCAGTGGTAGATATTATTATTTTTGTAAGATATTAACTTTTTTTTGAGTATGTTTATATATATTGTATATAGAATTGTATAATTAAAATTTTAATTATAACTTTAGTTTCATACGTCAGTATTAATTAATAATTTCTTTAGCTCTTAATACTTGTGAACAGGCTTAAGTCAAGTTTAAGCCAACTCAGTTCGAACTCGATTTGTTAAATTTTTATTGAATTCAAACTCATTAAAAATTTAATAAACAAGTCCAAACATACTAAAATTTAACTCGACTCGACTCATCTCATTTGCATTCTTAACCACACCTAACCTCTCCTATATCTCCTGCCACATCTAAGTCCTTAACCTCCCCACCTGGCCCTTGCTTCTCCAATAAATTATGCACACCACTCCCAAATCTTAACCACTCTCTCTCTCTCTTTCTTACCATTTGGAACTAAGAGTATCTCCATCCGATTTTAAATATAATGTGACATTTTAAAGTCATATTTTGAGATCAACTCCTCTCGGTGTGTCAAAAGTTGATATGTCATTTGACATCACCTCTTTATGCCAATTTTAATATGTTTCTATTTCATGCCCTTTTTTTTTTAAATAAAAAAGCTTCTACGTAAAATAAAAAAAAATTCAAATTTAAAAAATAACAAATTTAAAATATCAGGTGGAGAATTTTCATGTCAAATTAACACACGTCAATTTGTCACCTAAGTCTTTTTATCAAAATTTGAAAGTTTGGGTGGAAGTGCTCTAATAGCATCAAACAAATTGTCATCATTTAGATATTAATTGCGGAACCAATAATATTTGTTCATATATCAACTATTGAACTCATAGGATTTTGTTCAATATCAACTATTGAATCGATTTGGTTTGATTTTTTAAAAATTATTTTTAGACAGATTTTCTTTTGTCTTTAGTAAACTTTTTTAATATTTTAGTAAATTTTTATTTTTTTAACTCAAATATTTTTAAAAAATTCTAAAAAGAAAACCCGAACAAAAAAAAAGCTGTATTTTTTCTGAATAATTTTTTCAAATATGCAGATTGTCTATATTCATTCACTTAATATATATATATATTATTATGGATCATAATTATAAAAATGTGATTATGATATTATTCTATATGAATTTTGTCTTAACTACACCCTTCATAATCTAATACCAGATTTTTTTTATCAGCAAATCTAATAGCAGACTGATTACCAATTATTGGTCAGCTAATCAAACTGGCAGGGATTATTAGTAAGATATAATCTACCTTTTACCAACAACAACCCACCCAAATGACTCGGCTATGTTGATATCTCATCTTCCATCGATGTTGAAACAGCCTTACTTTTAACACTTAATCTCTACATTCTTCTCTCTATAATCTCCTATTCTTCTTCATTTAGCCTTTCCAAATCTTCTCTCCTCTCCTCCATTTTTGGACGGAACGTTATTCACATTCCCATTTCTCTGAATCACCTCCTATATATATAACACCCTACCCTCATTAGTTTTTACACTATGGCTTCATCATCATGTTCTTTATCATCTCTAATGATATTGCTAGTGGTTGCTACATTTGTTTCCCCAATTTGTTCAACGTCAAGGCGAACGCTTATTGATCCCAAGGCGATGCAAATCGGGTTCAGAGTCGATCTCAAGCACGTTGATTCGGGTGGAAACTACACTAAATTCGAGCGTCTGCAACGCGCCATGAAGCGCGGGAAGTTTAGGTTGCAGAGGCTGAATGAAATGGTGGCGAAAACAGATTCGGAAGTAAACTCCCAGGTTTACCCCGGAAACGGGGAGTTTTTAATGAAGTTATCCATTGGCACCCCACCTGAGTCCTACTCTGCTATAATGGACACGGGCAGTGATCTTATATGGACGCAATGCAAGCCTTGTCAGCAGTGTTTCGATCAGCCCACGCCTGTCTTTGATCCGACCAAATCTTCTTCTTTTTCACAGCTGCCTTGCTCGAGCAGCCTTTGCTCGGCTCTACCGTTGTCAAATTGTGGGACTGACGGCTGCGAGTATCTGTACACGTATGGCGATTATTCCTCGACACAAGGTGCCATGGCGACCGAGACCTTTACTTTTGGTGAGGTCTTGGTGCCTAACATTGGGTTTGGTTGTGGCGAAGACAATGAAGGAAGTGGGTTCAGCCAAGGGGCCGGGCTAGTTGGGCTCGGCCGTGGACCCCTTTCCCTTGTTTCCCAGCTCGGCGAGCCCAAATTTTCATATTGCCTAACCTCCATTGATGACTCATCCAAAACCAGCACTCTTTTAATGGGATCACTCGCAAGTGTGAACAGCACAGGTGGTAAAAATTCAATCACAACTACCCCTTTGATTCAAAACCCATCACAACCATCTTTTTACTACCTTTCTCTCCAAGGAATCGCAGTTGGTGGCACTGCCTTGCCCATCAAGAAATCCACTTTTGCACTCAACCAAGATGGGAGTGGTGGGCTAATCATTGATTCAGGTACAACCATCACATATTTGGAACAAAGTGCTTTTGATCTTGTGAAAAAAGAGTTCATTTCTCAAACCAAGCTCTCTGTCGATAAATCGGGCTCAACCGGACTTGATCTTTGCTTTACGTTGCCATCGGATGCCTCCACGGTTGAGGTGCCCAAATTGGTGTTCCATTTTGATGGGGCGGATATGGATTTGCCAGCCGAAAACTACATGATTGCGGATTCAGGTATGGGGTTGATGTGCTTGGCAATGGGCGGATCAAGTGGTATGTCTATATTTGGAAATGTACAACAGCAGAACATGATGGTTGTACATGACCTAGCTAAGGAAACCCTGTCATTTATACCCACTCAGTGCAATCAGTTGTGAGTGCTCTGTTAGGTTATTATACATATCTTGTTCATTTGATCGATCTGTATTGTGTGTTGTGTCGTGGTTTTTGATTTTTAATGAATTTGTTTTGATTTTCTTTTTTCAAAACAATTTGCATCAATAAACCCTCCTTTATCATGTTCACAAGTACTTGCTTCTAACAAGGTTGATCATTGATGGGATCATGGTCCTTTTTTATTTTTTGGGGGGGCAAATTACCTGGATATCTATTTAAAACAGGAGAAGTCAATTTAATCCATTAATTTTTTGGATACTCTCAAAAATCCACCACATATTTTTCTTCTTTATTCTTTCTTGTGCATTTCTTCTTTTATGTCTCTTTCTCTTCTTTTCCAGTGACCGGCAATCATACCTTTCCTTTTCTCTTTCTCTTTCTAACATATAATCACTGGCAATCGACGACCACCATTGATTGGGATTCATCGGCAATCACCGACCACCAATTTTTACTTCATCCTCACCAGCAACGAAGGAGATAAGTTTCCGGTAAAGAAAATAAGTAGATCTACTCAAATCTTATGTAGATCTACTCAAATCTACATCAGATCTAAGTAGATCTAAACTAAAAATAGTTGTCAGAGTACAATCTTCTCTATATATCTATTTCTTTCTTTCAATCTCTCAATTTTTCTACCATTTTTCTATTACACACTTCTATTTTCCTGTTTCAATGGAGAAAAGTTTCAAATTCTAAACAAATTCTAATAGTATTTGATGAAATTCTAAACAAATTTCAAACTATCACTGAAAATTAACAATTAGTAATGTTTTTAATAGTATGTGATGAAAAATGTCATTAATTATCATAGGACCTTTTGCTAATCAAAAAAAAAAATTATCATAGGACCTATTGGATAATAAATTTACCTATTAAGACCTACACATTATATGTATAGTGGTTCAAACCAATTGTGTAGCAAAAAATATTGCAAATGGAATACGATAACTCACTTTTGTATAAGTTACGATTTCCCATTTACTGGGATCATAAGTCAAGTGATACTCCTAAATTATTTAATAAGTTTTTTCTAAATCAAATGCACTAACAAATAGGATACTCACGCGATAGGTTCATTTTTTTTTTAATCCCTTGGACCTTTAGGCCCAAGCTTCAATTTCTTTGGGTCAAAATGACACAATTTGTCCAAAAAGACGTTATCGATTAAAATTAACCTATATGTCTATCTCTTGAAATTACTCAGCCTTCATTTGGGAAGGCAAGATTGAGGCTTTTTTTGACTATTTTAGCCACAAAAAATAAAATAAGTTTTTTAGTCCAATAAGACAAAACATCATATTCAATCCATAATTATTATATTCTTTCTTTCACAAAAAAGTCAAAAACCCTTCTCAAACCAAATTTTTTAGCCCCAAGCTAAAATAGCCAAAAAGTCAACCCACTTTCCAAACAAAGCCTTAATTTGTCTATCTGTTGAAATTCACCATATCTATTTTCTTATATGTTGAAATTCACCAAACAGCCTATCTATTGAAATGTGACATATACCATTCATTCAACGCCTTATTTGTTGAATATCATATATTTCTCTATCTCACCACCACCACTACCACATGCTTTTCGAGCGTTTCACCAAATAAAATTTTTCTTTCAATCTAATGTCTTATACACTTTTTAGAATTGACTTTTTAACAATTCTCTCTAACAAATATGCAAGTGAAAGTGTACTCTATGGCAAATGAAAATGATAGGACCTATGTGCAAATAAATATATTTGTTAATACATTGGCTAGTATTATTGTTATGACCAAATATGAAACGTAAGCTTTTACACAGAAAGTCACCATTGCTTTAATCAAACCAACCAACTCCACTTTCCTAACTTTGGTAATCTAATTTAACTCATTCTAACTTTCCACAACGATCATAACAAAACAGAGGACATACCTTCCCAAATGACTCTCTCCACAACTATGTAAAAGCTTACAAACAACCATAACAATCATTGCGATCAACAATATTATAAACATAGAATCAATTGTATAAAATAATTGTAATCATACATATTATTACATAGTGAAACCTAGAGTTTTTTTTTTTTTTTGACATTCTGAGAGGGTAATTTATGTAGAAATTGGACTGATCTAAGTGATGGGCCATTCCATGGGCTACAATGAGAAGAACTACGTAAAAGGGCCTGATAGTTAGCCCGGTCCCAGAGAGCCTTGTAATTAGTCCGGTCCAGAAGAGCCTTGCAGATAGTCTAGTCCGCAGGAGCTTGGTGGTTAGCTCAGTCACCACGGTCGGCGCGGTGACAGTTAGTTCGGTCATACTATATTGGGCCGAAGTATGTTGGCTTCTACTTAGGACTTTGCCGTTAGATAGCTCGGTCCAAGCTCATTGTGGATAGCACAGTTTCAGACAACCCAGTTGGAATATGTCAATCGAGGTACGTGCGCAGTGAAAGGAAGAACCGAGCTATCTGGAGCTCGATCTAGTCTGCGGTTTTAGCGTGACCATGTTATCTCGGTCGTATTAACATCTAGCCATGGTAAAACCATCTCACTTGGTTTAAGCAGTGAGGGGGGTGTTGAAGGATAAGCATTATCTTTCAGTAATGTGATTCCTAGGAGGACTTTATATTGAAGAGTAAGAGTCCTACTAGGATTGTGCCACACGGAACCTATAAAAAGCTCATAACATCACCTATGGAGAGATAACACAACTTTGATTCCCGAATATACAGAGCTTTTGTCTATTTGTCTATTTTGCTGACTTAGGCATCGGAGAGGTATCCGGCACACACCCGCCGACTAGCTCACATTTGTGTTTTCAGGGAGTAAAGCGACGTCGTACGAAGGAGCGCAGACTTGATCAATATGATTATACGAGAAGGTTTATTTCTTTCTCGTACAATTGGCACCGTCTGTGGGAATATCAGACAAAGAACAAAACCTCTTGATCAAGTTTCCCTTGCTAGTTGAATGGCGCACAACGAAGATTTGCCGTAGTCCGCCATCGGGACAAACCCCAGAGGGGGGTGGGAGGCGCGAAGGTTTCCCCTCTATCCCTCCCATGGCGGACTTAGAGCCCCAGCAATAGAATCCCCGGAGGAATGCAAGGGGGAGGCGGAACAACAGCCCTCGTCGCTCTCGCTCACAAAGTCCTGAAAGGCAAAGGCGGAGGATCAACCCTCAAGTTTTGGAGGATCGGGTAAAGGAGCATGACGAGTTAATCAGGAAGATGGTAGCGGACATGGAATTGATGAAGCACCAGATAAAAGAGAAGGGGGTGGCTACAGGAACGGGGCGCAAGAGCAATACGCCTCCTCGCTACTCAGAAGATCGTGGTAGGCATACCACGTCATCGCAAGCAGAGAGTAGAAGCCTTAGGACAGGCGACACTCAATCAAGGACTTCCAGAGCTCGTTACTCCAGGTTTGAGAGAATGAGATCATTGAGGTCTGACACTGAGGGAAGTACCTATCGGCCCTCACATACGCACCAGACATCATCTAGGCAAATGGAGTTGCCTAGGTCATCCGACTTACGGACTGTGCTTGATGAAAGGGCATGACGGAAGGAGGATGCTAGGGCACGCGACTCGCACAGAGTTTCAGCCCTTCAGCAGTTGGCTCCTCGGACACATGGAAGCGTCGAGGTTGGAATGCCAATACCGCACCTTGCCTACGAACCAACAGATAAAGCACTGGCAAGACTACATAGCTCACCGTTCGTTCCGGCGATTGAGAACGCACCATTACCTTCAAGCTTCATCTAGCCTAAATTTACCACATACGAGGGGAAGACAGACCCTTATATGTACCTAAGCCACTTTCGCCAAGTCATGGCAGTATACCGACGAAACGAAGCTTTAATGTGCATCCTATTCCCATCTATCCTTGGCGACCTAGGTTTAACCTGGTTCGAAAGGCTGCCAGAAGGCAGCATAGCCTCCTGGGCGCAATTAGCGGAGGCGTTAGTAACAAGGTTCAGAACGAACACCAAGACACCAGTGGAGATCGATCAGCTACTCTCCATTGACATGGGCGACAAGGAAACATTGAGATCCTACAACAGTCGCTACTGGGAGACGTTCAACCAGATAGAGGACTGCCCCACCAATCTCGCCATCGCACAATACAAAAGAGGACTTGCAGTCGGAAACAAATTGAGGGATTCAATTACTATGACTCCACCCCTCACGATGGAAGCCTTGATGGAGAGAGTGCACCAACATATTCGGGTGGAGGAGGATGGCGCACGTGCCAAGGCAAAATCTGGTGCAACAGCAACACCAGATAAGAAGACTACGGAAAAAATCAACACAGTAGAACGTCCAAGCAAGAATGGACGAGGCAGACGAGACAACGAAGAGGACCGAGATAAAAGACGGTTGAGAGTCCGCACTGCCATTACCACGGTATTCAAGAAACCAATCTACCGAATTCTCAGCGAGATACGCGATGAACCTTTCATCAAATGGCCAGCTAAATTGGGAGAGGCACAGAAGTACTACGACGAAAGATCTCGGTGCACCTTCCACAAGGAAAAGAGGCACCGCACTGAAAACTGCATGCCATTGAGATAGCATCTGGAGGAGTTAGAGGCAGCTGGTCACCTGGACCGGTACATAGAAGGAGGGACGCAGCCAGCCCCCCAAAACTACGATCACCCAGACGGAACACCGATTGACGCCCCACCTCAAGGCGTGATAAACGTAATACATGGGGTATTCGAGCTAGAACGAGTATGTGAGCTCAAGGGAATGATAAAAAAGGCTGAGCACTTAAGGGAAGTATTAAATGCACAACCCACCATCAAAAAGGGAAAAATAGTGGCCACGAATGTTATGTCTTTTTCAGACAGAGACTTGGAAAGGATATATTGCCCTCACAATGATGCACTGGTCGCCACTCTCCACTTCAAGGATTACGACGTCAAGCGAATCTTGATCGACCAAGGGAGCTCATGTGAGATAATGTATTACGAAACCTTCAAACAATTGAAACTGGAAGACAAAGACATGGCACCCACCGTATCTCCCCTGATCGGATTCAACTCAATGCCAGAGTGGCCAGTGGGCAAAATTATCCTCCTAGTCAGAGCAAGAAGCATGACGAAACAAGTAGAATTCTGGGTATTAAAAGTCCCTTCCACTTACGACATAATCTTGGGGAGGACA